GGAAATTCCACGCGAGAGCGCGATTCATGCATTAATCGTGAAATTCCGCGCAAGAGCGCAGGTTTTCAATAAACTGTGAGTGAATAGTTCCCCATATCCTAAGGACTGGGGTTCTTGTTATTACTCTGACGCCTCCCACGCGCGGACTCCTTCCTCCCGCTCGCGCCTCCCTCCTCCCAATGATAATCACCAGATAAGACAAGACAAGATAAGATACTACAAGATAATATAAGATATCACAACATATGATAAGAAGAGATTTCCAGATAAGATGGGATAAGCTAAGCTCACACTCGCACTCTCTCATGATCACAAAACGCTGCCAGGGGCATCATTTGGGAGCCCCAAGGGGGAGCCACCCTGGCTGATCTCACGAGCCCGTTCGCGCCGATTTTGGTGGGACGTCTCAGCTAGAATTGCCGTTTGGCGCCCCCAACATGTATCTCTTGAGAGCCTCATGGTCACAAAACGCTGCCAGGGGCATCATTTGGGAGCCCCAAGGGGGAGCCACCCTGGCTGATCTCACGAGCCCGTTCGCGCCGATTTTGGTGGGACGTCTCAGCTAGAATTGCCGTTTGGCGCCCCCAACATGTATCTCTTGAGAGCCTCATGGTCGCAAAACGCTGCCAGGGGCATCATTTGGGAGCCCCAAGGGGGAGCCACCCTGGCTGATCTCACGAGCCCGTTCGCGCCGATTTTGGTGGGACGTCTCAGCTAGAATTGCCGTTTGGCGCCCCCAACATGTATCTCTTGAGAGCCTCATGGTCACAAAACGCTGCCAGGGGCATCATTTGGGAGCCCCAAGGGGGAGCCACCCTGGCTGATCTCACGAGCCCGTTCGCGCCGATTTTGGTGGGACGTCTCAGCTAGAATTGCCGTTTGGCGCCCCCAACATGTATCTCTTGAGAGCCTCATGGTCGCAAAACGCTGCCAGGGGCATCATTGGGAGCCCCAAGGGGGAGCCACCCTGGCTGATCTCACGAGCCCGTTCGCGCCGATTTTGGTGGGACGTCTCAGCTAGAATTGCCGTTTGGCGCCCCCAACATGTATCTCTTGAGAGCCTCATGGTCACAAAACGCTGCCAGGGGCATCATTTGGGAGCCCCAAGGGGGAGCCACCCTGGCTGATCTCACGAGCCCGTGACGAGAGAGAGAGAGAGAGAGAGCAGAGAGAGAGAGAGAGGAAGCGAGAGAGAGGGAGAGGAGAGAGAGAGAGAGAGAGAGAGAGAGAGAGAGAGAGAGGGGGAGTTGAGAGAGGAGACAGGCGAGAGAAAGAGAGAAGAGAGAAGAGAGAGAGAGAGAGAGAGAGAAGAGAGAAGAGAGAGAGAGAGAGAGAGAGAGATAGAAGAGAGAGAGAGAGGAGAGAGAGAGAGAGAGAGAGAGTGGAGAGAGAGGGGGGGGGAGAGAGAGAGAGAGAGAGAGAGAGAGAGAGAGAGAGAGAGAGAGAGAGAGAGAGAGAGCGGGAGAGAGCGAGAGAGAGAGAGAGAGCAGAGAGAGAGAGAGAGAGAGCGGGAGAGAGCGAGGGAGAGCGAGAGAGAGCGAGAGAGAGCGAGTGAGAGAGAGAGAGAGAGAGCGAGAGAGAGCGACAGAGAGCGAGAGAGAGCAAGAGAGAGCGAGAGAGCGAAAGAGAGTGAGAGAGAAGAGAGAGAGAGAGATAGAGAGAGAAAGAGAGAGAGAGAGATAGAGAGAGAGAAGAGAAGAGAAGAGAAGAGAAGAGAAGAGAAGGGAAGAGAAGAGAAGAGAAGAGAAGAGAAGAGAAGAGAAGAGAGAGAGCGAGAGAGAGAGAGGGAGAGTGAGAGAGAGAGGAGAGAGCAGAGAGAGAATAGAGAGAAGAGAGAGAGAAGAGAGAGAGAGAGAGGGGCAGAGATAGAGGCAGAGAGAGAGAGGCACAGAGAGAGAGGCAGAGAGAGAGAGAGGCAGAGAGACAGAGGCAGAGAGAGAGAGAGGCAGGGAAAGAGAGGCAGAGACAGAGAGGGCAGAGAGAGAGAGAGACAGAGAGTGCAGAGAGAGCAGAGAGAGAGGCAGCTCAGTCACACTTAAATCCAGATTCGTCCTCACCGAGTCCCACCACCAAGGGAGCGCCACCAAGGAGATGCACATGTGGGGATCCCCACGCAGTGAATAATTTTGTAAGGCGGGAGCCGCTGTTGTTGTATAACGGAGGCCAACAACCCAATATGAGCCTCAAGACGTTCCCTTGCGAAAAACCGAGTACGATCCCCTGGAGGAGCACTTTACTTGTACAAACACAATGGGCACCAGATGGGGATCAACCATAATTTTGTTTGAAGCGGGAATTCAACAACAAATCCTGGCAAAAGACCCAACCAAATGCAACTGCGAGACCCGCAATGCAAATGAAACGAAGGAGGTGGCACGCAAACCGCGAATGGTGGTGAAGGTGGCCCTTTCGCATAGGCAGCACGCCACGGAAAGGACGGGGTGCGGGATAGCGTAGATGGGGGCCAGGCGGGGTGTGTGTGTGGCGGTATGCGGGCCACGAAAAATGTGAAGGGTGTGCCGACATGCATGAGTGCGGCGGCACCATGCGAACACTCCCACTGGGGCCTGCGGCGGAACCCTCTGTGGAGCCACGAAACATGTGAGAGGTGCGCCAAAGCGGGTGTGGCGGCGCCATGCGAACCCTCCCACTGGGGCCTGCGGCGGAACTCTCTACGGAGCCACGAAACATGTGAGAGGTGTGCCAAATGGTGTGGCGGCACCATGCGAACCTTCCCACTGGGGCCTCTGTGGAGCTCCCTATGGGGCCACGAAACTTGTGAGGGGTGTGCCGAAATGGGTGCGGCGGCGGCATGCGACCCCCCCCCCCCACTGGGGCCTGCGGTGGAGCTCCCTATGGGGCCACGAAACGCGTGAGGGGTGTGCCGAAATGGATGCGGCGGCGCCATGCGAACCCCCCCACTGGGGCCTTCGGTCGACCCCCCAATGCACAAAACGTGCGAGTGGTATGCCGAAACGGGCGCGGCGGCGCCAGGCGGACACGAAGCGTGTGAGGGGTATGACGAAATGTGTGCGGCGGCGCAATGCGAACCATCCCACTGGGGCCTTCGGTGGAGCTCCCTATGGGGACACTGGACGTGTGAGGGGTGCGACGCATGGTGCGAAGGCGCCACACGAACACCCCCATTGGGGCCTTCGGCGGACGTGATGTAACGAAAAGTGACTCATGGTGGTGATACTGCTGATGCTGATGCCGATTGGGCTGATGATGATGGCAATGATGATGACGATGACGATGACGATGACGACGAAGACGACGACGACGACGACGATGACGACGACGATGACGATGACGGTCATGATGATGATGATATTGATAATGATAATGATAATGATAATGATGATGATGATGATGATGATGATGATGATGATGATGATGATGGTGATGGTGATGGTGATGGTGATGGTGATGGTGATGGTGATGGTGATGGTGATGGTGATGGTGATGGTGATGGTGATGGTGATTGTGGTGGTGATGATGATTGCGATGATGATGTTGCGGCTGATGATAATGATGATGATCATGACGGTGATGGTGATGGTGAGGATGACGGTGATGATGATGAGATTGATGACGTTGAAGATGACGACTATGAGGATGGCGATGGTGACGATGATGGTGATGACGATGCTGATGATGGTGATGATGATGGTGGCGATTATGGTTATGCTGATGGGGATGGTGATGGTGATGATAATGATGCTGATGATGGTAATGATGATGGTGGTGATACTGATGCTGATGATGATGCTGATGGTGATGATGATGATGCTGATGGTGAAGATGGTGGTGGTGATCATGGTGGTGATGATGGTGATGGTGATGATGGTAACGGTATTGATGATGGTGGTGATGATGGTGATGATGATGTAGATGTTGTTGTTCATGATGATGCTAATGAGAATGATGATGGTGATAATGACGGTGATGACGACGATGAGGATGATGAACATGATGATAACGCCGAGACGGTGACGATGGCGACTGCGCTGACGATGATGATGGTGACGATGACAACAACGACGACGACGATGATAATGACAGTGGTAGTTGTGATGATGATGATGATGATGATGATGATGATGATGATGATGATGATGGTAGTGATGGTGACGATGATGATGGTGATGGTGATGATGCTGATGATGATGGAAGTGGTGATGATGATGGTGTGGTGATGATGATGCTGATAATGATGATGGTAGTTATGATGCTGATATTCATAAGGAGAAGACGGACGGAGATGAGGACGTAGACGAGGACGAGGACGAGAATGATGATGATGATGTTACTGATAATGATGATGATGATGATGATGATGATGATGATGATGATGATGATGATGATGATGATGGTGATGATCATAATGCTGATGTTGATGATGATGACGATCGTAACGGTGATGATAATGGTGACGGTGATGGTGGTGGTAATGGTTATGGTGATGGTGATTGTGATGGTGATAGTGATGGTGATGATCACGATAAATATGATGATGACGATGAAGATGCAGATGAAGATGAAGATGATTATCATGAAGATGACGAGATGGTGAGGGGGAAGGAGAGAAGGAGCGAAACCGTGGGGCGCGGAAGATTCAAAAACGAGGAACCAACACCACAGGATGGTCGGGGGAAAAAATACGAGGAATGAGCTCTCTCAATGTCGGGAAATCCCGCGTTCTCTCTCCCTCTCACTCTATCTCATTCGCCCTCCCCCATCTCCCTCTCCCTCTCGCACACCCTCCCCTCGAATCACCATATCTGCCAGCACGAGAAACAAAGCACCGTCATGAGCCGTCTCGCCTAGAATGCAGCGATGCCCCACAAAAACTGATAGCAACGCCATCTCATTATACGAGAACCAGAAATTGGCACATAACAAAACAACATATGTTAGCAGCGGGGCTTCAAGCCCGAATCAGACCGCCAGGGCCACTGTATACCGAAGACACCTGGGGAGCTGAAAAGATTAACAGCCTGATCATCAAGTGCTCGTTCACCGTCTCTGCACTTGTCCTTCTCCTTTCTCTTGGTCTTCCTCTTGCTTTTGGAGCTGCTCGCCTGTTGCAAAGAGCAATTGGGAAAGGACACGATGCTCAGACTGTCACACCGTCTCCTCGAGCATTCGAGATAAACGCTAGATTGCCGATCTCTTGTACAGAAGAGCCGCCCCTCCAGCATCCTGCAACATCCAATGCGGCGATATTACTAGACACTCCTCACGGTACGCGGATTTAACTCTCAAGGCACCGATCACGTGACACGTCCGCCAATGGTCACATGCTCGCAGCAGCACACTGGAAGTATTTCCGATTGAAAACGGCGCTGGTCTTCACAGCAGCCAGGCTCGGGTGGACTGGAAAAGCAGCACGATCTGATCCTGCCTCGCCTTCATCTGGCATGCGCGCCTGCACACTCTAGCCATAGTGATCCAACATCTACGTGTCTGAAACTTAATGAATGCGGGGGCATCTTAGTTTGTTAACTTCACCACCTGTCTGTTCTGGGCTCTGCTGCCAACTGAACCCTTGGTTAAAAGTGGAGCTGGCAAGAGGCGACCAGGGGAATCATGTTGCAATAGTGATGTCAGGCATTAGGAATGGACACTATGCACATGCCTCTGAATCCCACAAGCCGTCTAGGCAGATGTGACTTAGCGAGATAGCTAATACACCCCGATTCTTCCCTTTCGAGGAGGGGTTTATCCCTCCCCCTACTCACTCCCACGTGGGTCTGCAAGAGAGTCGCAGGTCGTGAGAGCGCCCGGGATGGACAAAGATGGTTCCAGAAGTGACAAGATAGCCCAAGATGGCCCGCAAGATCTTTCAAGATAGCCCAACATGGTTCAAAACAGCCTCCGACAGGCCCCACGTCCGCCCCCAGACGTGTCCAAAGGGCGACGGAAGTACTTCCGAAACCCAAATGCAACCGCTCCAAAACCCAAGGAAATCCATGATTGCTGCCTTCTCGCTGCATCGCTTGTGACGGGCTTGAAGGGCCTCAAGATGGCCGAAGAAGGGCCCCAATATGGAAAGGGACGAAGAAGACCCCATAATGTCCCCAACAGCGCCCACGAGCGCCCCAAGAGGGCCTCAAAAGGCGATGTGTCGGCCCCCGGACTGAGGGGGGAGAATTGAGGACTCCCCCTCCTTTTTTGATCGATGGCCTTCAAGATGGCCCCAAAAAGCTCCCGAAAGCGCCAAATCGGGGCCCAATAGAGCCCGAAAACGGACCGAAAAGAGCACCAATGATACCAAACATAGCCCCCAAAGGGCCCCAAGATGGCCCAAATAAGCTGCCAAACAGTTCCCATATCGACAATTCCGCGAAAGTCTTCATAGTTTCCTCCTGGGCACGCCTAAGCTGATCTCGATCGTCGGCTCGACGGTTTACCCTCCTCTGCGTTCCACTGCGTGCTCCCACATGCTCCTGATCAATGCAACTCGCCTGGGCATCGTTTCCGGATGGGCCGGTGGGTAGACGCCAAGCGTCTAGATTTCCACGCAACAGCTACACATCCATCACGCAGTCGCGCAGCGAATGGGACGCTCGACAGTCACAGCCTGTGGCAAACAGCATTAATTAATAGATGACAAAACATATGCTGGAAATTCATAAACTCATCACGCCATGAAAAGTCAAAGTAAGGGCACAGGGCTTGGCCACAAGGTGATGAAGTGGGAACTTTACTCTTAGGACGACGTCAGTGACGCATCGAAGCATCCCACAAATGATCCCTCCACGGCAAACAAGACGAGAGGTAAGACAACAGCCGTGGGATACAAGGGGCGGGTCATAGATAAACGTGGCCTTTTGTCTGATGTTATGACCCCAAACAGACTCGTACAGGGTCGTGACAAAAAAACTAGTACATAGGACAGCGCTGCCTTGAGCCAAGACAACGTCGGATATAGCGTCCACAATACAGCCTCTCCTTAGGCCTCGTTTAATGTCGGGAGGGGAAGGGCCGAACGCTAGATCCAAGTCCTAACTCATTAGAAACAATAAAGAAGGATGGGGGTAATGTTTTTTACGTCCCCAACAGCACACAGGAACAAGGCACAGAAAAATCATCACAAAGTCTTAAGGCCGGTCGCGGCGCATTGCCTCGCGACCAGCCGCAGACGATTATGGGCAGTCACGGGCAAGACCGCGCGACTGCCCACAGACAATCAGGGGGCGCCCAGCCAGCGGGCCAGAGGTCATAGCGCGCACTGTGTGAGGGGATATGACCTAGCAGTCAGATCCCCTCAAAAAACTTAGAAGGAAAATGCCCGCGGCTGGGTCCTCATGGTGGCTGCGAAACTACGGATATACATACATATATTATTATATACACATACATACATATATATAATATATATATATATATATATATATATATATATATATATATATATGCGCCCGCGGCCGGCCAAAGATAACTACTTGTAGATATACATGCCCGTGTCCGGGCAAGGATAACTACTTGTCTGCATTTGAGCAGTCGTCGTCATTCCTATCCACGGGCCCAGAGCAGGGCCTCCCTATGTTGGCGCTGCATCTATCTTCCCTGCCTCGATAGGGCATGTACTTCTTTATTTCGCAATTGAAGGACTGATTGCCTCCATTGCTCGCAGCAGCAAAGCCCGATCGATACGCCCTTGAATATGACCATCAGTGGTCATGTCCTGCGCATCACACCAGCGCACGCTATGAACAATACCTCGTTCCATCATTCGCCCCATCCAGCTGATGCGCCCCAGCGGGGGACATTCGGCAGCGAGGATTCGACAAAGATTTAAATGCCGACTCAGCGCCCATGGTAAGGATGCCCATAATGCCGGAACCAGCTAACTCCAACATGTCATTCAGTTGAGCGGGCGTTAGGGGCCCAGCATTCTTCAACTCATGAACGCAACTACGATAGGGTAGCAGTCCTCGAGATTACGAGCGGCTGCCAGCGAACGAACCTGCAAGCAATGCGACTTGCAGCACGCATCGATCAGATGTACTACTGCTCTGCCGTTAGGCGCATGTCCACGCCAAGAACAGGTTGGCCCCTCGGACGCCGCGCCCCGCTACCTCGCCATCTTCGCCCCCGCTGAGGCGGCGATATCCGGAACCACTGTGTAGGCCCACCTCCTGTCGGAGTCGCAAGCTGATATATTCTCTTCTGTGGACACTGCTGAAGTTTGCGTGTGGCGGCGTTAAGTCTGCGTACATGGAGGTTTGCGGGCCCCGTTGCTCGTTGCCAGGATAACGCGCACGCCATTGACCACGCCTGATTGATTAGCGCATGCGCCAAGGCGCCACGTAAACTGATGAACACGTCGGATACTGTCTTCGCTGCATTTCTTCTGCTACAGCGCCCGTAAGTTCAGGGCGCTGCATGGGGCAAAACCGCCCATGCATCCATCCTGATCTAGCTGGGCGCGGCCACCCCCCGTCGCAGCGCAGCGCGCGGCGCAATTGGAGTAAGAGTGCTTTTTTTGTTCAGTTAACATGCGCCGGACGTACTTCCCCTACATGTGACGCGCCTGTCAATACTATCCTCCACTCCTGCCATGGTTATGTCATCGACGCGCTTGGCTGTTAGGTGGTTTGGGCTCGTCTCGAAGTCTTCATCGTACGACGTAGGTTTTAGCCCGAATTCTCGCGCGATGGCTCTGAGCTTCAGTGACAATGCCCTAGGGGCGTCTTTGGTGCCAGCGTCCGGCTCAAGACACAACAGGCTGTCTTTGACTCGTCGTGGGACGAGAAGCCAGGCAATGCACGCGGCACCGAGGCTGAACCAGGGGAAAGAGGCCCCTGACAACCCACGATAGGTCAGACCTTTCAAGAAAGCCTCATCGATATCCGGGATGCCATGATCCATTATTCATTGCACGCGGCCGCGCTGGCGAGCAATCTCTGGCTTACTCGACGAGCTGTGCCTGATTAGGTTTCTATGTCAAATGCTTCGATGTCCATATAGCCACGAAGAACAGAGCGTCGTCGCAAAGTTCGCTCCATCTCGCCTTTGACGTCCTTGACAAGTTTCCACTTGCGCACGCATCTAGAGGTCATGATGTTGGCGGCTTTCTCGATGTCCTGCATATTGAATCATGTGTTACCATACCATACTTTGGGATCCGTGCACAAGGCCATGGCTATACTTGTCGGGATGGCTTGCATTTCTGCCTCCGTCAGGAAGTTGCCCTGATCGACGGCCACAGCTCTTTCAGCTGCGGCCGAAACATATATACCCGCGCATTGCGGTTACTCGGTCGTTGCGCAGTGACTCGCGCAGTTGCCCTCACAGAACAACCCTAGCCATGTCAGTAGCGAAGCATAGCTCAACAGACTGTGGCTGTTCGTCCGAATCGAGATCGTAAGTCTTGTCGCATTCGGTGGTCCAAGGCGCCAAGAAGGTTTCGTCGGCGTCATAACTCCGAGCATAACTGATCCCTCGCAAGCGCCCTCGCCCCTCACTGGCCACAGCCGCGAGCGCGCGGTTGTCTGTAACCATCTCGGCGGGCACAGAGCACGGGGACTCCCATGGGGGCGTCTCGAGCAGCCCCCCTTCCTCTTGGAGCTCGCTCGACGCACCGCGTTTCCATGGCGCGTGCTTCCACGTCCATTTCTGATTCCTCAGCAATGGTCGGTAGCCTGCCGTCAAGCGCGGCCGTCGCTGGAGGTCGCTGCCCCTCTTGGGCGTGGCCGCCTGGCGCTGGCGCGCCCGCCAGGTCCCCAAACTTTGAGAGGTCCTCGCCAAAGCCTGCTGACATGGTTTTTGAGGACTTCAAGCACTGAATGTTTCGCGCGCGCGGTTGCAGCGATGTCATGGGCACTGAGCGGTTCCTTCGGATTCGCAGAAGTGGAATCCTAGTGCGACGCCATTGTCATAGTACACAAGGGCACAGCTGTCAGCATAGGGTGCCCCCGGTAACCTGCGGGGGCTTTTAGCCGTTTTCTATCCTACAGTAGCTTCTGAGAAGGAACTGCAAGGTTACATGTATTTCCAAGCGAGAAACGACTCACTGCAGTCATCCGCAAGTTTCCCTGTTGGTCGGCAGGTAGCCAAAGACCATGGCAGGTTT